GTCGACCATTTTCATAAGTATCTCTATGGACGCAAGTTTCTAATTCGAACAGATCACGCAGCTCTAAAATGGCTTTTAGAAATGAAAACTCCTGAAGGACAGCTTGCTAGATGGATTGAGGAATTGCAGCAATACGATTTCCAAATTAAACATCGACCTGGAAACCTGCATAAAAATGCTGACGCTCTGTCCAGACGGCCATGTAAAGAAGATTGCAAGCATTGTCAAAGAATCGATATACATGAGAAAAACACTAGTCCAGTTGTAAGAAGAACGGGCCTGATCGTCGATGACAAATGGACTACCAAACAAATGAGAGAAGATCAGGAGGCAGACCAGGACATCGGGCAAATTCTACATCTTAAAGAAAATGATGAATGTAGGCCAGAATGGGGGGAAGTGTCAAACAAAAGCTTGATTTACAAGGCGTTGTGGGCTCAGTGGAACTCTCTGGCCGTAGAAAATGGTTTGCTCAAAAGAGTTTGGGAAAGTGCCGATGGGAAATCCACTAAGAGCCAACTGGTTATCCCAAAAGACCGAGTGGAAGATGTATTAAAAGAGATACACGACGGAACTTCAGGGGCACATTTCGGAGTTAACAAGACTTTGGACAAAATTCGGGAACGTTTTTACTGGGTTCACTACCATGAAGACGTTAAAAGCTGGTGCCCAAAATGCGACATCTGTGCTACCAGTAAAGGCCCTAAACTGAGATCTCGGGGGCCCATGAAACAGTACAACGTCGGTCTCCCATTTGAAAGAATAGCGATAGATGTTGCTGGACCGTTCCCAGAGTCAGAGCGTGGTAACAAATACATCTTAGTTATCATGAATTACTTCAGTAAATGGCCAGAAGTTTTTGCTATTCCCAATCAAGAAGCCATCACTGTCGCCCAGGTGCTAGTGGACGAAGTTTTTAGTCGTCATGGTGTGCCACTAGAGTTACATTCAGACCAGGGACGAAACTTCGAATCTGCCATCTTTAAGAAAATTTGTGAGATCATGGGAATCCGTAAGACCAGGACAACACCTTTACATCCACAGTCTGATGGCATGGTAGAACGATTTAATAAGACCATAGAGGAACACCTGACAAAAGTGGTCGCAAGGAACCAGCGTGATTGGGACAAACACTTGCCTCTGTTTTTAATGGCTTATAGAGCAGCTGTTCACGAGTCAACAGGTGAAAGTCCAGCCAGAATCGTCTTTGGAAGAGAACTCAGGTTACCTTGCGATTTGATGTTTGGGATACCTGAAGAAGAACGGAGAGAAATCCGAGATTATGCCGACGAAGTAAGGGCACGACTTCTGGGTATCCATGATTTTGCTCGGGAGCATATTCAACTAGCCAGTGACCGAATGAAGACCAGATACGACTTGATAGCCAATTCGGTCGGATTTCAAGAAGGTGATTTAGTGTGGTTGTATAACCCAGCAAGGAAGAAAGGAGTATCGCCGAAATTGTCTTCAGCATGGGAAGGACCCTATAGAATAATCAAGAGGATCAATGATTTGGTTTATCGAGTCCAGCGCAACACCAGGAGTAAGATGAAAGTTGTACATCTGGACAGATTGGCGAAATATCATGGGCGTGAGGTTGATCGGGACGATCAATCTTAAGAGGAGGGCAGTGCTACGATATCGTTAACGGTGTCCGCCAGGCTGTCAAGAATCGATGTCGAATATCCTCGAATCTAGCGAATTATTCTACTATAATCGAGAAATAACATTATCGTGTGTGTTCTAGATTTTACAGGAATAGATTTAGGGATATATATAAGGACGGGTTTTTAGCTTGCAAGTTAGTTTTCAGTTCGGCTGTGATACGATTTAAATAGTGATTGTAAAGAGTTTGATTGTTGAGTTTGTTAATAAAGTAATTAGTGTCAGAGTGTTTTGTTAAGTGGAATACATTATTGCTGTGTTAATTGGACTTTGATTTTTGGAATAAACGAAACGAACGACGAACCCAAGATTTCTGTCCGGCGATCCAAAGTCGCGACAATATTTTCAATTCACTCGTATTCAACAATAGTTATTTATTATACAAGACGGTAAAAAGATGCTTTACCTGTGAGTGGAAAATGTTGATTCACGAGCGACGAAGGAGCGAGAGGATCAATTTCACGAACAGGTAAAGCTTTTTTACCGTTGTGTGTAATATTCTATTTTATTCTTGAGCCACTTTCTATTTATCACAATTACTAAAATCATAAACTAAAATGTGCTAAATAATGACAAATTGACAAAGTACCTAACAAACTGACACATTTCTGGTGTTGTCAATCATGCAACATATCAGATTTCTGTCAAAAACACTATAATTATTATGAAGAGAACGAGTGGGTAAAATTGACGTATAAGTGGGTAAAATTGACGTATGAGTGGGTAAAATTGACAAATGAGTTGGTAAAAATTATTCGATTTCACTACTTCAAATAAAGTGTTACTTTAACAACGAGTTTTGAGTCGATTAATGGCCGTTTCCACCAACGCAAATTTAAGTTTACTTAACGTTAAGTGCCGCTTATATTATAATTTCTTTTCCACCAGTCCAACCTAGTGTCATTGAGATAAACTTAACTAAGCCCGGGAATTTCTAGGCTTATTCTTCCCTTAACAGAGTGGCGATGATATATGCGCAAGCAATTTGCATCATGCCTTTGTTGACATAAGCAAACGTTAAAGTTGATGCTTCACAGAAAGTAGCAAAAATTTAATTGAGATAAAATTTTCTCAATTTTCTAATTTCTGGTAAAGTTTGCGTTCTGTTGTGTTTAAGAAAATTGTTGTTTGAAAAATGGATATACCTAAGATGATTTGGAAGTATTGGATTTGTTTGAAGATGTGGTACCTATCCCCAGAAAAATGTATGATAGAAATAATCATTTTGAGGAGATGGACAATCTAACGTTTTTTGAAGATTCAGATTCAGATTGACAAAACCCACTGTGTTGCAACTTCTAGAACAAATTGAATCATCCTTAGAATTTCCTATAGGTGAATTTGGAGTGATTGTGTTAAACTCATTGGCTAATTTTCGCCAAATTTTTGTTTTTTTTCTGAAACCGATACTGCATCCGTTTTCTTGTTTTTTATTATATGTTTGTATATTGCCGAAAGGTTTATCAGAAGATCTTTTTTTTGGGCAGTACCTATAATTTCCCGAGTAATTTCCAGCTCTTATTTTTCCATTTTCATTCATTGTTGAACGGACGTGTTGTCGCTAGGTATTGTAAATCACAAATTAAAAGTGACCTATTTATTTTTATTTATTCAAACCATGAATCTATCGTCAATAATTTTAAAACATTATTTATTTTCTGGACTTCAAAATTCCATCAAACCACTACACAAAGCCGAGTTTGAGGTTATGATGGCGAACAAAAGCAAGGTTGCCAAAGCTAAACAACAGTTAGTTAAGATTCATCAGAAAGGCGGTGGTGGAATGCAAATTTAATTAAGCGGTGCTTACGTTTTAAGGGACGCTTAAATATTCTCAGCTTAGAGCTTTATTGGTGGAAACGGCCATAAATGATAGTTTACCATTCGCGATAGAATAAAAGATAATTCTAGTGCATCCGAGTCCTGGCACATTTCCAATCACCCTTTTTACTACCACTCTCAGACCAAAAAAACCAGTAGGTACCCGCACTACTTGTTCATATTGATGGTTGCTGCCTTAGGTGAGTTTTTTTGAAAACTTATCACTTTCAATACAACCCTTCTTTCTTCCATCTGATCATTATCACTAGAACTTCAGTGTATAGAAGATTAGGAACTGATCAGCGCATGCACCAACTTCGCCAAGGATTCTTCTAACCTAGCATTTCTGTGTTTTTGTTTATGTGACTCAAACATTGATGAATTTTGATATTTTTTTCTTCCTACAACCGCCAAAATTCCTTCCTAAAGATAGACGTGATCAAACTGAAGAATAAAGTTGTACGATCATAACTTCTATCATACGTTCAGAAGGGAGTTAGGTTTTAAAAGAACGGCGTCACTTTCTTCCGCTTTGATCACCAATATTTTATTTCACTAGAATAACTATTTATTAAGTTTATTTGACTATTCTCATAAACACAATGGGCTCACTAGGTCTGACTGAATATAAAGTTCACAAGTTGAGTTTTTGACATATTCAAATTGAGATTGATACGATTGATACTATTTCAGACTTTTCACATCACAACTCACTAGTTTCTGGAAAAGTTTGACTGTCCAAGCTTTCGAAGGTCTTGGAAGCGCAAAGCCATTGCTATTCCACTATTATTGAGCAACTCCAGTATTTTTTGTAGGGCGTGATGAACCTCTCTTATGGTAGATTTACATTTCCTCCTGAAACTATTCCGATTTTCTGGCAGAATGTTGAAAGTTGAAACCATCCTCTGAATCCAATGAGGGAATTGATGCTTGTATCCCTTCTTTTGTAAATTGGCTCCACTGGTGCATTCTCAGCATTCTCAAGTAAAGTTAAAGTTCAAGGTACCTTCTTCCCTAGCTGAAAGGTTACAATTATTACACTGTGAACTAATTGGAGTTTCAAAAGGTTTGTCGCTTTTTTTAGAAGAGCTACAGAAAATTTTCATTTCCAACAGACTTTTCATTTTTTTGATATTTTATACATTTTAAACCTAGTTCACTTATTGGTGTGGGTCTCCAAAAGATCGTTGAGTCTTGAGTCACATTTGGCAATATGTATTACTAAGATCGTTAAATTCCTTTTCATTGATATCTAATTGGATACAACAGTAATACAAACTCAGTATGAGTTCTCAACAGTGTGTTTGGAGCTTTGGTTGAACACTTGTGTTTTCTGAAGAAATATTGGGATGTTCCTGATTTTTAATTCCACCTCACTGTCAAGAAGTTTTTAATTATTTTTTTTTTTAAACAAACGATCTGATTTAATATTGTTTGATTAAGGGTAAAACAGGAGAGTACATCTTGTTATTGCCCATTGCAATGTGGGTCTAAAGCTGTAATTTTTTTTTTAGTCGTTCAACAATAACCAGCTGAATCAATTCTCCAGCCCAGATGAAACAGTGCACTGGCTAACTCTCAACCGATTCGAAAATTACATGGACATGTTTTCTAGATTCTCTGGTTCGGACATGTTGCGCATGTCTCGCGACGATTTGATCCAAATCTGTGGACATGCCGACGGAATTCGTCTGCATAACGCTTTACATTTAAAGTAAACAATAGAATAAGAAAACGATTTTGTATATTTCAATAACTTTCTCTTACTTTTAGGACGATTGCGCCAAAACTCAGACTCTACGTATGTCGTGAAAACATGTCAGTTTTCAACGCAGTTTTTCTGACTTCGCACAGCCACATAGAGCTGCTACAGAAACTTTGCTCCATGGCCTCCATCAACGTCGATCAAGTTAAGAATATTTACATTGAAGGACCACATTCCATCCACATTCAGTTGAGTGACGATATGTTGAGTCACGTGGAAGAAGAAACTATGTTTTCGTTGAATGTTGTGCAAGAAAATGGTAGTTACGTGTTGTTACTCAAAAGAAAATCTAAACAGTAATTAACTATTTACTATAATGGATTAGAAAGTAATAATAGCTTTGGTCACGGAAAACATTCAGAGCGATTGGGAATGAGTAAGGACCTTATTTTGGATTGTCAGTAATGAACAGGTTCAGGATTTTTTTTTTATGCTCTATTGTAAAACACACTTTTACGTACGTGGTCTGGTTTCAGTTTCTATTGGTAATTTACGAATAGCTTTCATTTTTATTTATTATTTCACTTTGAAGCGGGGGCGTTCATATTTGGATCAATAACGTTCAATATTTTATTTCATACTGATTTGTTGAAATTTTTTTAACAGTTCTAACAGCCAAATAAATTTTGTTATTTTTTGTCATGTGACACAAATCACCCAATCATTTCAATATTATGCTGAAAACAGGGTTGTTCTCACTCTATGACATTGTTTCGGACACTACTGTCAAAAATCGAATAACCAGAGGAACATTGATAAATGCTCAAAAATGTTATAACTAGGCGTTGGTCTGTTTCCAAGAAACACGCTTTCGAAAATATAGAATACAAAATATCAATGTCCTTGGGTTAATACTACTGAAAGCTATGTTTCGAAATAATGTATTTTATTTACGACTAATGTATATTGTGCGTATTATATTTGTGATTTTAGCAGTATAATGACATATGTTATTCCTACAGGGATTAATGACGAGTAGCGGGATTAATGGTCATTATTCCACAAAAGTGTCAGTGTCAAACGTGTAGTGCTTGTGGATTTGTATTGAAAATTATGAGACGGATGAAATTTGTTCATTGATAATCTCAAATAAATTAATTTGTCGTAAATAAAGTAGAGTATACTACTCGCAATAATGGCTATCATTCCCTCGGAATGTTACTCCCTCGCCGCTAACGCGGCTCAGTTCGTAATAATCCTCGGGAATAATAGCTATCATTATTGACTCGTGGTATGGTATAATCTACTATTAATTTGCATCGTACCTACACCTGTAAAGTAGCAAGTACCTTTTTGCTATTGGTCTGAAAATTTTGTCGGACTAGCCTGCTAAAATTTTATCTTAGCGAACTCAGTACTATAAAAATTAATTTTCCGGACTAAAACTAAGTAGGTATGTGAAGGTGTGTTTTATCATCCAGAATGAAATAAATATTTATCACATCAATTCATGAACAGAGCACCAGAATTCTGAATCGGCTGTAGCAAAAAATTTGTTTCACTCCTGAACAGCTGAAACTAGGGGTATTCTTTCGGTCTAATCGAACTGAACAAACTAATCTGATTTAAATGAAAGTGATTTTTATTTTTACGTCACTTCGCTAATGTCCATCGCATCGAAAGAACAATTATTTATATTAGCTGATTTTGACTCACAAATGATCTGAAAGAAGTGAACGTAAAAATTCTGCGATAACTTGAGGCTAGGAATAAACTGATTGCAATTATTTGTGGGGAAAGTGATCCGAAATCAAAAGAACATGGTTCAATTAGTTCAGGTGACTTCAATCCAGTGTTGTCGAACGTCAAAATACTAAATCGGGAGAAACTGGCGTTTAAAATCGGTAGATTACTGCGCAAAATCGGTAGGCATCATAACATAAAGACAAAAAATACAACGTTGCCGTGTTTTGAATGATTTAATAAAAATATTACATTATAAATCGGAAAATCAAATATATTTTATTTAAGAAAATACAAACCTCAATACAAACATAATAGACATTGAGTTGAGCTAATTCATTCATGCGCGTCACTAATTAGATGACGAGTCATTTGGCCACTTTGTCGATTATTTGAGTTGAGATTAGTGTTTGATAAAGTTATTCAGGCACACACACAAACAGATATTTTTTCCTTCTGTAATCTGTGAGCAAAAATTTAACGAACGACTGCCGATAGTTCCCATTCCAAGCAATTAATGTAGGTACGTCAAAATCAAACCAAAACCAAAAGTGTCGAAAAATCTCCAACCAAAAAAACCGACAAAAATTCTCGGTGGATTCGGTGCCTCACCGGTTTCAAACAGCTCATCATTCCGGTAAATTTTGGAACGGACGATCAGGTTCAACCAGTTAAGAGTCGGTACATTTTTTAACCGTTTGGTGAAGTAAACTTATAAACCGATAGGTATCGCACCGGATCAGAAACCGGTGAATTTTGGAAAGTGCCCGGCCTGCACTGACCAACCATAGCCAATTTTAAGCGAATAACCACAATTTTGTGGTTTTAACCGTGGTTACGCTTTGGTTCAAGATGACAGATCACTTGATGACGTCATTCCATTGTATTCGCTTAAACGCGTTTGGTATTAACCGCGGTTACCCCTGTTGTGTTATTGCTATTTGTTTATATTTTGAATTTTGATTTCATGCTGGCCGGAAAATGGAAAAGAGGAGAGAACTTGCCTTTTTATTTGGAGATGTGTTTTTTTTGAAGACAGTGCGGAAATAATTGATTTGTTAGGAAATCTACCAATTTGTTGCATTTTTTTTAAAAAAAGGAAAGACATGAGACCGAATATCAATTGAAACAGATAATACTTGCTATTAAGAGTAAATTGGCTGTTTCTAAAAGCCGGTATTTCAAATGTAACCTTAAAATCAAGATTTACCAAAGGTATCCTTAACGTTAAGGTGAACTTGAAATCAGTTCATTCAGGTAACTTAAGATAAGCTTAAGATCCACCTTGAATTAGGGGAACTTTTATACTTTGATATACGGTGAAACTTGTATTAAAGATGACTTAACGTTATTTTAAGGTGACATTGAAATACCGACCCAGTCTCCAGTCTCCGACCTGTATTTGGTAATCCGCCCCTTCATGACTTTTGCTTAGGGAAGTATCCATAATTTCTGGCCCTTTTTTTACTTCATAATACCAAACAAACTGCTAAAAAAAATAAACAACTTGCTAAAAACCCGCCAAAAATGCAATGTCAACAATTCAAATAATAACCTCAAAATAAAAACCACTCCCGAGCTGGGTTAAAACCGCAATTTTGCGGTGATAAGTATGACATTTTAGAGCTGATCCATGACGTCACGGAGTCATAACCAAAAGAAAAACCAAAGTCGCATAAATGTTGTGGTAAATACCAATCCGAAATGGTAAAAACCAATCTCGTTTGGTTATTCGCTTAAAATTGGCTCCATTGCTAGCTGAAATTTGTCGTCGGCGCCGGAAGATCTATTTGACATATGACAGTTCGGAAATGGACAAAAATTTCGAAAGTAGATCTGGTGCGGCTATGGATAGAAAAATCGACGAAAACGAAAACGATAAAATCGATTTTTTGGTGGAAAATGGTAAAAAAATCGGTAGAATAGTGATTATTGTCGAAAATAGGTAAAAATTCGCCAATATTTCGGTAGGTCCATTATCATTTCGGTAGAAATACCGAAATTTCGGTGGCTTCGACAACACTGCTTCAATCAGTTTGTTCGGAACGAAAGAATACTAGTACTATACTAGCTCAACTCGAATCGAATCTGCTATGCGAACGCGGAACCTAGAGATTTGGAATTAAGTTTGGTGATCTGCGAACATTATTATATGAACTGGGCATGTGAATAGTACCGATTCCGCTCAGAGTACTTACCGTGAACAAAGCTAATAACTCGAATTTAAATTAAATTCTATCTAAAAGAAACATGTTCTATTGAATATAAGCTTAGGATATAACCATTACACTCTAGCAGCTAGGGACCAAGACCTAAGATGTTTTTTTTTTTTAAATCTCATTTTTGAATGTAATCGTTTTATACGCCTATAGAATAAAATGTTGATCCTACGCATGCGGAAAGTATCTTCCCCGTACTTGACTGCTTGTCTCCGCTTCACCTCATTTGGTTGGGCACTGGTAGTCACTTGCGGAAAAGTATAACTTTCCGCATCTGATATAAGAAAAACTTTTTTAGATAAATAAATCCTGACATTTCAGGAAGTTAGATAATGTATTGTAGAGGTCTCATGAAAAAACTGACATTGACAATCTATATAAATAAGAAAGGAATATATTTTAGATACAAGGGACAATGAGTAAAAGCATTTTTAATATTTTAAGTCTCATTAGAAAATGGAGATTTGTTTTACAAAGTGGAGACATTGATGTCTCGATGGCTATATTAAAAAAGGAATTGTTTTGAACAAAAACATTTTAGGAAAAATAATAATATACATACCTACATTTCAAAATGTTTTTCCTCCATATTCCTGTAAGTTATGTAGATATGATATACCCAATTTCTAGCAGAGTAAGTATAACAAAAAAGCCAAGTAGCGGAAAGGACCCTGCCCAAAGCATATGGAGAATGTGTTTATGTCAGAATTGGCTGAATTTTGTATATAATGTAAATTATGCCTTCCTGATTAAAAGTTACCATTGCACCAATCCTGAAATATGATTCCTTTTTGAGAAAATAGTTTCTTAGGTAGCAAGTAAAACGCTTGGACATTGTAATGAGCGTACATACAAATAAGTGGATTATTGCGGAACTTATGGGTGAACCGCAGCCATCTACTCACCAATATACTGTTGAACTGTTCAAATAAGACACTCATCTGAAACGTGTAGTTTTTGAACTAATGAGAAAAATCCACAACTGAGTGAATCAGGTTAGTATTGTACTTGAACAACATATTGGTGAATAGATGACTGAGTCCACCCATAAGTTCCGCAACAATCCACTCGTTTGCACTTGAATAACTTGTTACAATATATTACTAGTTTGGTAAAGTAACATTACTAATTCCTGTTAAAAGGCAAATTGACAAAATGTGGATAATCTTACAAATTCTGACTTTATATAATAGGTTATTGTTCAAGTAGGTACATACAATGTAACACAAATAGGTAAGCTTGTGGCGCAGTGGTGTGCTACGTATAGTAATTTTTCAGGATTAGTGCAATGGTAACTTTTAATCAGAAAGGCGTGATCTACATTACATACAAAGTTAAGCCAATTCTGACATAAACACAATTTCCGTATACTTTGGGCAGGGTCCTTTCTAGAATAAAAATACCTACACATAGACATTTTGTCCTATTCATCTCTCTAGTACTTTGTTTTTGTTGTTGCGACTGTGACAATCATAACTGGCCCGAAATTTCTGTATTGTGAATTGATAACATTGAGCGCTTGGGCATTACTTGGCTTTATTTAGACCTATTTTATCTTAGTTGAGTATATATTTTAACTTAGCTAAAACTGAACCTTATGATTTTTAATAGTGCCGTTTCTATCTTCAAAGGTTTGGCTTTTGTTGTTCAGTCAATTCTCTAGTTACATGACAAAAAACTGTAGCAACTGAGATGCGATTGCCAAACGCTACTTGAAATGCAATTTTTATGTCAGTATTAAAATTCATAACGGTATCCTCAGAACCGTACATCTTAAGTATATTTTAGCTCATAAATCAAAGCATTCCTACTCATTATAGGATTATTTAAAAAAAAAATGGTGCCGCATTAAGTATGGGTTGTATCGAATGTTTCGGCACTATTTTTTTATTGTTGGTTAGGTTTCATCCCCATTGCATGGTCATCGCGAAATATCAATCTTCTATGCATACCATATTTTATCCATACGTTTTGGAATTATAATTTTTAAGGTAACAGCCATTGTTGTATCAATTTATAAGACTGAAAAAATGTCTATGCCTTAAATACCAATGTGTCTTCTCGACTAATACATTTCCAAGCAAACATTTTCCATCGGTAAAAATTTACAAACAAAACCATCATCGTTCAAGCATCGAATAAGGCTAGATATAGCAGCTATTTTTACATTTTTGCATTGGTATAACTAATCTTGCGTACATAATACAAAAATAACAATTTTTCAATTTTCTTGGCATCTAGAGGTGTTATTTCCATTTATAATAACAAACACTCCACAGTGCCCGGGTCATTTCTATATTTTAGGCTCTACTTGCATATTTATGCTACATGTATGTTGAAATATGAAACAGTAATAAGCGGTTATGCTGAGAATTTCTTACATCTGTCAAAGCTGTCATTCCAACAATAAGCTGACATGATTTTGATTGTTGATTTGAACCAATCAGATTAGAATTACGTAATAATTTGCACTAGTGCAAATTATGGGATAATTGCATAGTAACTGGTGCGAGAACTGGTGTTTTGAAATTTTTTGACAAAAAATTCAAATTTTTGATTTATGAAATTCTCGCATAAAATATAACTCGTACAATGGAAATATATCTATTATTTTCGACAAATTTGCACTCATGCGTTTTTAACTGAAAAAAGCACTCGTGCACTACGACCTACGTGCACTCGTGCTCTTATCCAACTAAAAATGCATTCGGGCAAATTTCCCAAAAATTATCGATAATTTCCATTGCAGTTATATAATACTATTGATAATATTAATAATCATAATATCAGACAATATTTTCATAATAGTTATTTACATTACAAGTGCGTTTATGAACATGATTACAATAACGAATGTGAAAGATTCGTTCTTATCACACGAGTTTTGTAGTCATGTTTAAACGCACGTGTGATGTATAACGTTTTATCTACAAAGCGAAATATAATAATGTTTTTTCAATTATTTTCGTTCATTAGTAGTTGTGTACCTTCATTTAACCTTTACAGGCTTAACTTCGACATTTTGTCAAACACCAAAAATAGTTGTGTTATAGATTCATTACCTAGTCCATAATACCACTACTGTTATGAGTCTCATGACATATCTCAAACATTAGAAAAAAATGGTTATGTAAAAACGTCAAAACCAAACGCTTGTAGATAAAAGTACTTATTTACAACCACATACGTAATGTTGACATTTCTGACTTTTCAAATGTTTGAAAGTGACAATTTTTTGAATTTTACTTTCTTCCCAGGTAGAAAGTGCTCACTTTCCACCCCGGTGGAAACTAAGCCCTCATTTCGTAAAATGTTTGAGACAAGTCCTGCATGTCGAACGTTTTTTAAGTAAGTCAAAATTTGTCATCAAAATTTTTTGATTTTTATTTAGTGTTTAGTCAAAATTGTGATGGTTGTAATTGTTGTAAATAAAATAGTATACAAACCTCGGTAGGAAGTTTCATTACTGTCAAGAGATTAGTTATATATATAATATATAATCTATAGTCTATAATCTATAATCTATAACACTTCCCACCTCGGTATGTAATATACTATTTTAGCATCAGAAAATATTGCTTACTTTTAAACGAAATGGCATTTTGTGTGCAATATTATTTTTGTGAGTACATATCTATCAAATTAAGGTGTGCTAATTTTTCCCAATAGATTTTTTTTTTCAATTATTACGGCTTCTACAATTTACATGATTTTTTAGTAGGTAGTATTTGTATTTTTTGTTTTAATTTTTAATTATTGATATCCAGTGTTTTATATGCTACTGAACAATTATACAATTTTATTAAATGTATACATATGTACCTACCATTATTTTCTTGTCATTTATAGTAAACTAGAAAAAATCATAATGAATTCAAAAATGTGTTGTTTTTTTTTACTTGATCCTGTCGCAGAGAGAAGAGCTTATTCTTTGACAAAGTAGTTGGGAACGTTCTATGAAGCCGTTTAAAGAAAAAAAAAACGAATTTTTGAAAGGAAACTAAGAAGTTTAGACTGTCCAGTCTCTTGCAGCATTTTCTCTTCCCGATAACTTTTAGACTGTGAGATAGGGGCTGTTTAGTTGAGTCATTTTTTTTTGTCTGGCATTTTGAGGGCTGAATGTGGCTACTAAGCTGATGAGAATATGGGTGATTTTAATGCCGGCCTTCCGTTCGAAAATTTGCAGAAGAAAAAAATTGATTTACATGAAGATTTTTTTTTAATGATCTCAAATTTTCTGGTTTTTAAATAAAAGATTGGCATTGATAAATAATTCACCCATGAAAAATATCAGATGCTTTTCAATAGCTGAAAAAATGGGGATGGGTGTTAACTTCCAAGAGAAAAGAAAAGAACCTTCCGCGTTTACTTTTTGTCTGGCAATCGAGAAAATGAAAGGTTTTGTTGTGAAAATAACGCTGAAAAATCGCCAGACGCGGTAATCACAGTTCGAAATCGAGTTTTCCGGCGAAACATTCTGTGGACATTTCGAACAGGAGGCAGGCATTAAAACCAGTTATATTCTCATCAGCTAACTAGCCACATTCATTCCTCAAAGTACCAGACAATAAAAAATGACTCCACTAAACAGGCCCTATCTCAGGGTCTATTTTTTCAAGGATATGTTTATGTGCTTGTTTGACCAGTAATATTTTTTTGATTTTTCTCATTTTATGAATTTTTTTTTTCAAAAAATGAGAAAAATCAAAAAAAAATTACTGGTCAAGCAAGCACAAAAGTACATTCTTGAAAACAGTTTTTGTTAGAATTCCCTAGATGCAACTGTTTTTATTAAAACAGCATAAAGACTGTGAGATAGGGGCTGTCTAGTGGAGTCATTTTTTTTTGTCTGGCATTTTGAGGGCTGAATGTGGCTACTAAGCTGATGAGAATATGGGTGATTTTATTGCCTGCCTTCCGTTCGAAAATTTGCAGAAGAAAAAAATTGATTTACATGAAGATTTTTTTTTAATGATCTCAAATTTTTTGGCTTCTAAATAAAAGAGATACATTGATTAATACTTCACCCATAAAAACTACCAGATGTTTTTCAATAGCTGAAAAAGTGGGGATGTGTGTCAACTTCCAAGAGAAAAGAAAAAAACCTTCCGCGTTTACTTTTTGTCTGGTAATCGAGAGAATGGAAGGTTTTGTTGTGAAAATAACACTGAAAAATCGCCAGAAGGTAATCACAGTTCGAAGTCGAGTTTTCCGGCAAAACATTCTGTGGACATTTCGAACAGGGGGCAGGCATTAAAACCACTTATATTCTCATCAGCTAACTAGTCACATTCAGGGCTGCCATTTATGAAATTTGTTACCTAGGACAATTCCTACAAAAACCCCGGATTCTAACCTCTAAAACCCGGACACTACTGGAGGGTAACACGCCGGAGGCAGAATTTTTTTTTGGGTGCCACGCCCAAAAACGTTTATTTTGAAAATAAATTATTTTTTGGGGTTTTTTATAGTTTTAATTTTAATATTAATATATGGTTCTCGATCACTGAATAACAGTTTTGCTAACAATGATAAAACTAAACAAAACGTGAATAAATAACAGCCAGTTCTTTGGTAAGTAATAACATGATAGGATAACAGGACTCACACTTACCGAGCTCCAAACATGACTTACGATACGTGAACTCAAGTCGCGCATGCGCGGGCTTTAAAACTGATATGTCGAGAAGTTACGAATACGCTATACATATACGTCATCGCTAAAAAATTCTTGTCAATTCCGCGAAGTTATTCGTGATTTTTGTCAAGATGCCGTAAACCGTAAAACACGGATAACTCCAAAAATCCCCCCGGACGCCTTTAAAACTAGGACAAATCCGGGGAAATCCGGACGGATGGCAGCCCTAGTCACATTCATCCCTCAAAACACCAGACAAAAAAAAATGAGTCCACTAAACAGGCCCTCTCAGGGTCTAATAGTCGCGAACGCGAAATATCTATTTTTTCAGCATCGACTATACTCGACGCCATGACGGCCTTTCATTTGCCGTCGTGTCCCAGTTGCTGGTATCTATCGATGCGGCCTGCGGCACTTTGCCATATTTTCCTTCAGAACATCTTTGTAGCGTTTTTGTTGACCGCCTTTATTTAATTTTCGCTTCTTAGTTGACTGCAGAGAATCTGTCGTGGAAGACATCTTTTGGGCATGCGGACCAGGTGACCTGTCCAGCCAAGTTGGTGATTATGAGAAAGTACAACTGAATATTGAAGAATTCGAAAATACAAAAACTGCAATGCTGACCTCAATTGAGGTACTCAATGAGAACAACAAATTATTGACATTGACCTTGAAAAAAGCTAATTATGAACTGTTCGATTTGAGAGATAAAATCTGTCCACTAAAATCACGGGGCCGTATTCTTGATTTCTGGGAGGAGAACTTGCTCGGGAAGTGGACGTGGTTTACCTCAAAAAGGTAAATGTCATATTCTTGAAAATGGGACTGTGAAGTGAAAGTTCCCGGGAATTCTGAAGTTCCCATCCTCTTACCCAAGAGAAAACGAATTCCCGTCAGGGTTTCTAACCTAAAGACTTGACGTTGTTTTCAAGCTTGACGTTTTCGTTTTCTCCTTTCAAATTCAAGGTTTTTTCGTTTTTGTATGCGTTGTGTCTTTTCATTAAAATGAATGTGGATGTGGATTATTTTATTGAGATTATCTTGTATAACATACCTAACATAATCCAAGAAGACATGAAAAATGCTTCAGAAGCAAAGGAAATAGAATGGGATGTTCTGCCTTTTCCATTGGCCAGAAATTCGTGAAATTTTTTAGAGTAAGCAAAAATGTATGCCACGAAATAGTGGATATGGTTACTCCCGTATGTTACCGCTCCAAACCGAGTCTCGGCTTTAACCAAAACTACAAAAGTAGGTAGGTATGCATAGAACACAGTATTCCAGAAGTTGATGAGCCACATGAAGTTCCCCTGATAACACAGGATTTTCCTGGGATATCCTGCCAATGTACTATGAAAGTATGAATGTCCCGTACCTTGATAATACATTCCCAGAATGTTTCAGATAGAATATAACTGGAATATTTAGATGTAATATTCAAGGAACATCCCTCAAATATTCCTGTTTCTTTGTTTTGTGATTTCTTATTTATAATTCTCAGCTTAGCAGCATATAAAGAGAAAAAACTTTTAAAAAAATCCCATTGCCAGATTCAGACCAACAAGACCAACGAGCCAACTGCGCTTCGTCAGTTCGTCTATCAACCAGCAGTGTTGATTATGACGATACCCATTTTCGACGTTGTCAGATTTCTTTGGATGATTTTATTCCATATAAATATGATGAAATATACCTAGTAGTTTCATAAGTTTTCGAATTTTATATGTAATGTTTGTATATAAAAATACAATTAATAGGTTGTATATTTTTTTATATTGGCGATATTTTACTCGTTACACAAAAATAATATACGTGACAACTGGCAACGTCGAACAAAAGCCGCACGTCACAAGCCACGGCACCTCACTTCATATTCATCACAGACAACCTAACCTCACTCCGAAAAAACAAGTCAGCAAATTTTATTGTTTGTTATTAATTTAGTTTTGTTTTAATTACAAAATAATCGTTTTATCGGTGGTCGGTTTTGAGCAATAAAACGTTCGGTGCTTGGTTTGCTCGTGTTTTTATATGGTTTTTCGTAGATTTTTCCACGAATTTCCCACATAATTTTTCACTGGCTCTTCCAATTTTCGAGGTTTCGTTACCTTTTGCATTTTTGTGTTAGGTAAGTACTACATGTAGCCTGTTCAGTATAGCTATTTATGTACCAAGGGGATTATGTAGATTATAATGCCCGAAGGCGAAACTAGCACGAGGGCCTATGGCCCGAGGGATATATTTCGCCTGAAGGGCATTATAATCTTGAAATCCCCGTGGTGCATACAATGCTTTATTTTCTACTCAACACAATGTTTTTTCATCAATTTGTTATTAACAAAATCAGTTAAACTTGTGTGACAGAATATTGTTTTGTATTTTGACATGTACCTGTACCTGTGACCTGTACCTGTACCTGCGACCTGTACATAGAAACGAAATAAATTAATATATCTATAAACATCTCATAAGGCAAGGCAACGGTGGTGGTCCTGTAGGTTAACGCGCTGGACTACATGGGAAACATTGATGGTAGACCGGGTTCGAATCCTGGCTAGACCGAAAATTATTTTCGGTCAGACATTTAGTGGCTGTCTAGGGTAAAGTGCAAATTAATAGAACAACAACAACAAAAACACCTTGAGGTATTATAAGCGGGCGTTATGGATCAGGTTGTTATAGGTGTGTTAACGTATTTCGTTTCCTAGGTATTATGGATCTATAATAGTAAAGTAGAAAATAAATTTATTTAAGAGGTTTTTAGAGTGCTTACAGTGCTGAAGATGGATCCTACAGGAAAAAAGTATTGTTGAGCAACTAATTATTGTCAAAGGAACAAACAATCAAGTCATTCAGAACCTGATCTACAAGATGAGCATCAGAACCCGAGGCAGCATCCTTTCTCTAGTTCTACGCTCGTTTCTATGACTGAGAGGACATTTTACTTGGCTACTTAAGATTCTATGAAGATTTTAATCAGATACCTTCTACCGTTCTACCTGAACAAAGTATCAGCACGCATTATTACTCTTCAGAAAATGGAACTTTCTAGGAAACTGTTGATGCAAGTGTTGAATGTCAATTTACAATTTATAATTTGAATAATATCTATAATTAATAAACCTAAACAAAAGTGTGTCCCACTAGTTTATTTGTGGGATGTTCTGTGCATGTTCCTCCTATATCCCACAAAAATCCCGAATATACTATGTGGGATGATTAAAGATATTCCAGGAATGA